AGTCCGCGCTTGGCATTCCTTCCAGACCTGCTCAAGTCTGAACACCCACCACTTTCCTGTTGCCTCTTCTGCCTCCCACCATTCACACTGTGCTCCCACCCCATGCCTGCTGACCCAGAGAGTCCTCTGGGAGAACACCTGCTACTCACATCCTACCCTTCTCTAGAGCCCAGATCAGGTGATGCATCCCTCCAACTCATTTGGATTCCATTACTTTCATTTAATCAATCAGAATTTTATTATAACCTGGTATGTCATAATACCTGGCTGATCTTTCTCACGGCCTGATCCTGCTAAAGTTCTTACCACACTCTTCTCAGTCTCTTAGCTGCAGTCACATGTAAGGTTCTCACCACACTGCTCTGTAGAATCTTTAACAGACCTCACTTGTCATCATTTCTTATAGGTTGTCTTATTTTTTTTTTGTCTGTTGCTGCAACAAAGCACACAGACAACAAGGAAGAAAGGGTTTGTTGTGGCTTATAGCTCCAGAGGGATATAGTCCATTATGGTGGGGAAGCCATGCCTAAGGCAAGGAAGTGATGGCAACAGAAACAGGAGGCTGCTCACACTGCATCTATGCTCAGAAAGCATCCAAAGAAGATCAGGTGGGGCCTGGGGCCTGGTTGTGAGTGCCCAAAGCCTGCCCCAGTGACACACTTCTTCCACCAAGGCTCCACTCACTAGAGGTTCCAGAGCCTTCCAAACAGCACCACCAGATGCAGACCAAGGGTTCAAATATGCAAATCCATAGGGAACATTCTGTGCTCAACCCACAATACAGACTGAGAAAGAACCATGGCTCTCACAGCCTCACCATCCATGCTGGCTGATTGGCATGAAGTTACTGAATCAGTGACTGGGTACATGAACACAGCAACAGCTCCTGCAGCTGGGAGGGCCTCACCCCTAAGAATGCAAGCACTGGCAGCGCTGCTCTTTCCAGTTCGAGGATCTATATTTCAATTACAGAATGTGTGTGTGTGTGTGTGTGTGTGTGTGTGTGTGTGTGTGTGTGTGAGAGAGAGAGAGAGAGAGAGAGAGACAGACAGACAGAGAGAGAGAGACAGAGAGAGACAGAGGGAGACAAAGAGAGACAGAGGGAGACAGAGGGAGAGACAGAGGGAGAGACAGAGGGAGACAGAGGGAGACAGAGAGAGACAGAGGGAGACAGAGGGAGACAGAGAGAGACAGAGGGAGACAGAGAGAGAGGGAAAGAGAGAGAGAGAGACAGAGAGTTTTCTAGTAACAAGAATGATCACTCACCAAACTCTTGCTATATGAGAGATGTGCGGTGGTTGATACAATATTCACCCAAGTGCATAGGAACTTCCAAGTCTTGTTTGCAGATGAGGCCAAAGCCAGTTCAGACTTAACTGAGGCCTTAGCAAAGGTCACAGAGTGGTAGACTCAGAACTCAGATTCTTACACACTGAACTGAGGCCTAATTCACAACTGTTGACAAGTATCTCAAGTTTAAAACATCAGCTTCTGCGGGAGACAGTGAACATTGTGAACCATGACAGCATCTAAAGGCAGAGAGGAAAAGGAGGCCTATGGATGGGGGCTCTAGGGCCATGATTTGGAAGTGTCAGAGGAGAGAAGGTGGCCCAACTTCACATGGCAAAATCTGGAGAGAGGAGACTGGTATTTATTTTCACGTGATTTGTGGATAAGCAAGTTCAAGCCGGTTGTTCCACTAAGGGGATTTGGAATTTTAGGTATGTGAGTAAAGGAGGTTATTTGATTGTCTTTTGTTCTAAGTTTCCGTACTGCAGATAATAGAAGTGAGTCAGAACCATGGCCTTCTGTAGCCCACGGGTGAGATAGAAATCATCTAGCAAGTTTTGAGCATTCTCCACTGCGGTTAAGGAATGCCACTGGAGTCCTGTACTAGTATAGGAAGCCACCACTCTTGCTCATTGGTGGAGGTCATCTCTTTCCCTAGTCTTCTGACACTGCCTCTTCCTTGGCCACCCCTGGCCTTCACTCTGGTCAGTGATGTATTTGTAACCCAGGATGAGGCAGCTGGAGAAGACCATGTCAGTACATTCTCCAGTCCAAGACTGTGACTTGCTTAGGTCACAGGGACAGTGAGGAGGCTACTGACGGGGTCGTGACTCCCAGAGCAGGACACCTTCTCTACTGTGTCTAACCTCTACTTTCTTTCTCCAGATGCTACCAGGTCCTTCATCTTCTCATGGTCAATAGAAGGTCTTTTCTCAATAGGTGTCTACCATTTACTTTCTTCAAGAACTATTATATGTGGACTTCTAAAGCCCATATTTTAAATCCAAGTCCCATCACAAAGAGGTCTTTCATTTTGAGTTAGACATATATATGTGGTTTTAAATCACATAGTAAGAAACATGTGTTTACTCAGAATTCCTCAAAAAGAAAAAAAACCTTCAGTAAATGCTGATGTTCCCCTGGCATTCACTCAGATCCCATCTCATCAAGGAATAGGATGACCCAGGGTGCCACACCTTCTGTAGACTTACTATTCATGAGACATGAGATTACATCTGAATATTGGCTCACTGGATATTCTATGTTTATGGTGCTGGCTTCCCAGTCAGGCCAGAGATAAAACAATTCCATCTTAAATAATGTTAAAGTAAGTAGGAAGTCAACCTATATTCAAGCATTAAAACATTAATTTCCTGGGCCTCTGTCCTCCTCATCCACATACAGTCCTAGAAGCTGAGGTCTCTAGCAGGGGTGAGGTCTCTGGCAGTGATGAAGTTGTGGGTGACACAAAACTCCATGTGAATCACAGACAGTCTCTGTTTACCCAACACACAGATCAAAATACCTCCCAGCATGTGTCATAGTCAGCAAGGGGTCTGCCACGCTGGGGATAATTTCCTGAAACTGAGACCTGCTGACACCCAGCCAAAGCCTGATCTGGAAAACCAAGAAGTCCTATTTAGTTTCTGCCACTGTTTGTGAGCCACACTGATGGGTAATTAGTGATGTATAAAGTTCTGCAGTTCTCTCGTTTCCCTTGAATATCCCAGTGTTGTTCTCCTGTGCTCCATGGTCACTAAAAATTTGCTGAACTGAATATTTGGTTTTAAATGAATGAAAAGGGCACCTGTATCTCCCTGCCTCCTTTGTTCCTCTCACACACAAAGACTATCTCCTTCCATCATGTTTTTCCTGGTCAGGGAGCCATGAAAGATTTTTATGTTGAGTTAATACCTCTGGGAACCAGTGGTGTCGTGCTGTGTTCTGAAAAGGGTGTTCTGACCCACAAGCCACACTTCTCAGGTTCAAGGATACTTGTAACCTGTTTTTTTCTAATATTCTAAGCATTCTTGTAGCACCAGAGGTAGAAAAATACACCGGGTTTACTTGGAAAATGTATGTGCCTGGGCTACTGACAGCATGCCAATCTTAAACCAGATTTCTAGGCATTTACAGTTAAAGCATGCCAGCAACAATATGTTTATTTAGACAATAGACTCCTAGGGCACACGTGTGAAAATCCTAAACAACGTGCATTATATGAGTGCTCTTGGCTCATGAGTTGAACGCTGGAGGTTGTTAGTCAGGCTCCTGCAGTGGTAATTGACTGCAAGCAAGGTTGTGCTCACATGGGGAGACTTGTGCTCTGCTCAACACATTTCCTACATTCAGGAGAATGGCTGTAGAGTGGTTGTAAATCCCACAGCAACTGGTAGGGTAGAGCTCCACATTTTTAAAACTCGGAGCAGCAGTTCTCTATCAGGCAATTAGGAGCGAGCAAAGATGGCAGAGAAGCATTTATCACCTGCTACTTCCTCACCTTGATTAGAGCAAGCGGCACTCCGTTAACCATGTCCGCAGAGCTACCTGGTGGTAACCAACCAGGGGACAGGGAAGTCATAAGGCCCCTGCTTTTGAGACCAAAGTCTGCTTCATTTCAGGAGTGCTTTGCATAATTCAGGATGTATTGCTGCTCTCAACAAAGTATTGTCCGGAAGTTAAAAAAACAACGATAAATCACTGGGCAAACACATGTAAACAAAATCAAATACAGATCCTATTTATTAATGAGGAGAGTAGATGGCAAACCTGGTTCAAAGGATGAAATGAGGGAAATGTGGATGGATGGTAGGTGAGGAATCACTTAAACAAATGATAAATGGTGACAAACACATAAACATACGTGCAGAAAGCAAACAAGAAATGACTGCCAAATCAGATGCAGAGTTCATTGATGCCCCCCCACACAGCAATACAATATTCCTGAGGATTGGTTTTCCTTGGGCAGAAATTCTCTGTGCTTAAACAGGACTTTTAAAAGATTACCATCTTTCTATAACATCTTCAGAGAAAGGGTGTCTGCTGTGCTGGACAGAGCTATTCCAGCTATTTATTTGATGTTAAAAACCCAATTTCCTGTCTTGTTTTTAGTTTGGGATATTAAACACTGGCTTTGTAGACTAAACCATTATCTTAATGGTTATGATATGGAGCTAAATGCAAAAACAATCAAGCAGAAAACTTCTCAGAAGGTCCTAACTCTTGCATGATGTGTACAATGTCTTTGGCAAATGTTATACCTTGGGGGCCAGCTTCCTTAGTAGTGGGTTCCCCTGAAGCTGGCCAGCCAGAGTCAGTTAAGCTAACTAAGCCTGTGTGGGTTCTAGCTCTGTCTGATGTTTTCCAAGCAAATCAGCTTAGTGTTTGTTTTAGTTACTAGCAGTCGTCTCTAGTTTTCACTAAAAGGGCCTTTGGGGCTTACCAAAGAAAGAGGTAAGAAGAAGGTGTAAGAGTCCTTTTGGAACTACAGGCACTTGTGAGCTGTTAGACATGAGTGCTGGGCACAGAACCTATGTCCTCTGCAAGAGCAAAAAGCAATGCTCTTTGCCTCTAAGTCATTTCTCCAGACCTGGGATTGGAGCTTTCTGCAGCCGTCTCTTTATCAGCAGCCAGAGCCCACGATGCATCCCGAGTTGGGTTTTGTTCTCTCCTGAAGCTGGCTGTTTATCTGCTCATCTTCTTGCTTGCAGGGCTTTTTCCGCCGAAGTATTCAGAAGAACATGATCTACACTTGCCACCGAGATAAGAACTGTGTTATTAACAAAGTCACCAGGAATCGATGTCAGTACTGCCGCCTGCAGAAGTGCTTTGAAGTGGGAATGTCCAAAGAGTGTAAGTGGAATCTCAAGCATGAGGCTTTTCCCTGCTTACCTTATCTATAAGTGTATTTGCTCAGCTTCTAAGATCGAATCATGAAGGATGTTAGCATGTGACGTTCAGATGTGGCACTAGCGGCGTGCTGTCACGGCCAGGTATAAACAGAGATGACATGGAAATAACAACCACCAAGATTCCCTCTGATCAAGCTTGAATGATAGGCGTTGTGACTGCAGATTCTAGAACGGTTCCTGACTCGGGGGTGCTCCAGAGCTGACAGGCAGTGCAGCCATGCACTCCTCTGTACCCTTGCCCTGACAGTGGGAGTAAGGGCCTCTGTTGCCTGGGGATGAATGAAATGAAAAGTCACATTGCTAGTGAAGTGTGAATTTCCTGTTTGTAGACGGGAGATGTGGCATACATTTGTTTTAGAAGGAACATTTGGGCACTGGGGACACTGACACTTTTCTCAAGTTGGGTTAGCTTTTCTCTTCTAAGCCATTCCTTCCCAACAAGAATAACAAAAATAAGTAAATAAATTAAAAATTGCTCATTGGACTCTAAACATCTGATAATAGGGAGTTGACTGTCTATGCATTAACATAAATAGATGTTATAGACACAGATTTTTTTCATTATATTTTCTTCTCGATGCTTTTGCCCAGAAAAGAATACGATGGTGAGCAGCTCAGCCAGCAGGCCTAAAACATCTTAAGGATGTATTCCAGGTTAATGACGCGGGTCGTAGACTGGAAAGAAAAAAACCATAGTGATGTGTGCCAGGTAGATGGCCTGGGCAGCAGGCCTGTGATGTCTCAGGGATGTGTCCCCGGTGAGACACAGATGGCATTGCTAATCTTTCATTCTTATCATCACCTTGGGGCATGTTGAAGGCTCACTGTAGATGAGTCACTAGGCAAGGTGTTAGCCAGGGACCCTGGAGAAGCCTTTGTTCTCCAAAAACATGGGACAAGAGGGTACCTGTCTGTGATTTTACTGTGCATCAGAAGAGTTGTGCTGTGAACCAAAGACTTTTGCTGGAGATTTGCTCCAGAAAACATATCCCTAAGGAGAAGCCTGAGCTAAGGGAAATAAGCCCCAGTGGTTATCAGCGCTCTGCAAGGGGGCCTGGCTTCTTCTGCTACCGATGCCAGGAACCTCGATGGCTGTTTCTCAGGAGTCACACACACACTTCTTACCACTGTTCCTATACCTTCCCCTCTCCTCGATGCTTGGGGTTCTGCTCTCCGGCATTGGGATTACGCAGTTAATCTTATGCCAGCTGGCTGTCCAGCCCAGCCACAGTACATGCATGTACCTAGACCAGTCCCCAAGGGAGACAATTCAAAACCCATTCCTAAACACCGGGACACATATGCTGTCATTTCCAACGCGTGTGAACAAGAAAGCATGTAAGCACAATGAGAAGTAACTTGTAGGAAGAAGCAGGCCTTCTGATGGAAAGGCAGTGACAGAAAGCAGGCTCTTGACAGCGGCCTTGAACTGCTTGCCAGCCAAACCTTTGACCTCTGTCTCCACATAATTTAATTTTGTTTGCCAAGAGGCACCCATTATGGCCCTTGGAGCTAAAGGCCTGTTCATACAGAGCCCCCAGGAATAAGTATGGGCTAGACAGCCAGTGTGAAGAATGTGTGTGCACCATTCCCTCTGGGCAGCCCTTTCTGCGGGGAACAGATCGTGCGGCCACTCATGGCCCAGCCACTTGATCTATCCAAACTCCTGAGCTAGTGAGTCACTAGAGAGCTCGAAATGAGGAGCTGTGAAGCTGATGTTCCGTTATCTTAGGACTGACCTTTCACCCCTGCTGGGAAAAGAAAAAGCCTGCTGACCAGAAATGACCATATTATTTACATAAGTGACACCAGGAAGGTCACCTGATGTTCTGTTTTTTTTTTTTTTTTTTTTTTTTTTTTTTTTGGTTTGCCATATTATTTACCTGGGTGACACTTGGCAGGTCACCTGATGACTCGATTTTGGTCCTGTCACCATGGAGCTCACATGAATTTCTGTGGGAGAACATCAACTCAGACTAAGATTATAAATGAGTAAGTCAGATATGAATGTGGGGGAAATCAGTAGTTTTGTATTTATTTTGTATGGGCTGAAGACCTGTTTCCTGCCTGTATTACTTAAAACCCATATCCGGCTTCCCTGTCAAAACTGGCAGCTTAGTTGGCAATTAAAAAAATTAATGTTTATACCCACAGGAAAACACCAGCTTCAACTCTCAAGGAACTTATCACCTTAATTAGATTTAAAAATATAGAAGTGGGAAGAGAATAGGATCATTATATTCAACCACACAAAAATAAATATGTTTTCTTAGAAGGAAATTGGAGAGGAAGTAAGTACTTGGAATACAGAAATCGAGAGTCTGATGGAATATTTTTAAAGCTGAAACAGAAGGAAGCAGACAAATATGAGAATTGTAATCAATTATCCCACACCATACATAATGAAGGGGAGTCCAGGAGTAATAGAAGCTTCTGGAACGGTAGAACTGAAAAAGGATCTTGGGGATTGGTTTCACTTACTTGACACCTAAGCACACCAACACCCAGAAGGACCAGCAGGTCATGCCAGCAATCCCTTCCTGTGGAAGGAGAAGCAAGTCTCCTCACCCGATTTCTTAGCTACTTTGTTCCAGCCATAGAGCTTCAGATTTGTTAGAGTTACTAGGGGAAGTGCCTGAGATATGGCCAGTGTCCTCTAAGGGTGTGGAACAAAGTGCCAGTCACCCCATCCATAATCCTCTCGTAGGTTACAAGAGCTGTTGTGAACCAAGAGATCTTGGATTTGGCATGTAGAAAATAGAGGCCTGGGGAGAAGCCTAAGCCTGAATGTCACTTAGTGACAGAGTGGCTTAGCCGAACATCAGCACACATCACATGAGTCACTGGCTCAAAGGCTTGTGTTCCTTTTTCTTCATCCCTTGGCTGTGTGCTGCTGTCCCCTTCCTCTTGGGGAGCTATTCCCTGTGGCTGACAGAGATGGGCACCAGCAGTTCCAGGCTTGCCTTCTTGGAGGAAGAGGGAAGAAGGGAGGGAGGGAGGGAGGGAGGGAGGGAGGGAGGGAGGGAGGGAGGGAGGGAGGGAGGGAGGGAGACAGAGACGGAGAGACAGACTTGGAACATGATCATGCCACCTCAGTCTGTGCTGGGTTCTGTTCGTCTGATTTAAGTCATTTACCCCTTTATGAACACATGGCTGTGTGTTGTCACTAGTGTGTGTCCTATGCCAGCCCCTCAAGCCCAGGACTGAGATTTACTCTACCCAAATAAGTAGGCCAAAATCATGGAGAAAGTCCCTTAGCATGTAATAAAAAAAGATAGGAGTGAGCAGTTTAGCGTGGTGGAAAAGCCCTTGTCTAGCATGCCTGAGACACTGGATTCATCCCCAGAATTGGCATAACATTTTGTCTTCTATAGACATCAAATTCCATAGTGATAATCCCAGACCATCCTTCAATTCTTCATTCTGATTTTCTTTCTTACTTTTTTTCCTTTTTTGAATCTGGGTCTCATGTGGCCTATACCCACTTTGAACTCACTATACCGCTAAGATGGTCTTAAGCTCAAGACCTCCCTTCGTCTATCTTCAGAGTGCTGACATGTCCACCATGTCTGCTCTTCTTTGTTCTTCATGTTTAGTGGGGACCAGAGAAATCTTAAGAATCATGTTACAGGATAATGCATTAACAGCTTTTTATTTCCTAGCATAAGTTTGTTATGCAAAATGATGAGTTTCATAATAACATTTATTCTGAATCTATCATATACTTTATATACACACACACGCACACACACACACATACACATACAACACACACACACGCACACGCACACGCACACGCACACACACACACACATACACAGAGACTACATTCTTTTGTCCCTGGTCTCCCTTCTACTGGCTCCCTCCCTCTTCCTACAGAGTCTCCCTTTGGGCTGAAGAGATGGCCCAATGGTTCAGAGTTAGAGAAATGTTCTTGTGAAGGACTCAAGCTCATTTTCCAGCACCTCTATCAGGGTGGCTCACAAACCCTTAGAACTCTGTCGCTGGTGTTCCAATGACTTCTTCTGGAATGCATAGGCACCCATACTCATGAGGGCAAACCTACTCTCTCTCACACACACACATATGATTTTAAAAGTAAAAGACATATTTTGAATAGCCTCCTTTTTTACTTTTATGCCATAGATACATAGGTAGGTAGGTAGGTAGATAGATAGACTGATAGATAGATAAAATGTGGTTATGGTTGTTTTTCTGGATCTGGCTTATTCTAAGATGATGATGTCCAATTTCATCCATTTTCCTATAAAACTCTATTGTTTGTGTAAACTCTGCCTTTTTATCCAATTATCTACCCACTGTTGATTGGCGCCAAGGCTTCTGTATATCTCGGTTACTGAGAATCACTCTTTCTATCCCACTGGTCCTCACCACAACCCTAGGAGACACATTCCTTAAAACCCTCCCTCCTTTTATTCTTGTGGCAACTGAGGTTCTGAGAAATTAATCGTTGAGCCCAGGGTAACACAACTGATAGGGAACAGTGCTGGGGTTTAGAAGAAAGGCTTTCAACATTTTATTCCTTTATTTATTTATCAGAGTGTGTATGTGTGTGTGTGTACATAAAGTATATGATACACACACACACACATATGAACACCTGTCATGACTCATGAGTGGAAGCCAGAGGACAATTATTAGGGGTCAGTTTTCACCTTTGCTATGTAGGTACCAGAGATCAAACTCAAGCTGTCAGGCTTGATAGCTGGCACCTTTACCCCTGAGCCCTCTCACTGGCCATAGTGGAAGTAGCTTGATTATAAAGTCTGTATTCAAACTGAAATATATACTGCATGCCATAAAAGGCAGCTTTAAAAACTCTGAATTACTTTTTCTACTCTGTTTTATTGCCAGTGGTTAATAAAACAATCAGCACACTGCTTGCTCTATATTAAAGATGTATTCCCTAGAATACCATGT